AGGAGCCTTTATAACCATTCCCAAGAGAACGCTATTTTTCAGTTAATATTATATTCCGTGTCTTTTTGCTGCAGGACCACAAAACCAAATAAAATGTATAAGATATAGTTGAATTTGAAAGCATACCCAGTAGTTATAAACAAACAGATTTTATGACTTAATGAATAGGATCGAGATTAAATTAGCAAAAAAATAACAATGAAGTTAAGCCCCTTAGTATTCTAACTTGACTGATATTGATATTTGTTCACAGAATTACTAACATTTGCATCAAAAACGAAAAGAATATTCATCAGATGTAATCTGGTACATAAATCATATGGAGTGTTCTGCATTGGATCGAAATAAATTCAAACTGTTTATTGTAGCAACGTCCATTGGTTAACTGGTTGTTTCAATATATAAAAGTTATTTTTCTATTTTACGTAAGGGAATTCTCATAAATCATGTGGTTTGCTGATGTAACTAAATGTATTCCCCTTACTTCGCGGAAATTTGTTAGAACATAATAAACTTAAGTTCATCAGGTAACTATCAGACTTCTGTTTTAGCCAATACAGAGAATGGACTACTATTCCTCGGGCTTTTAATATTTCATTCAGATGACGTTATGTATTTTTGGTTCTAATAAAAACGTTATGGAATCGCAGTAAAGTGATCATAAGCTGGTGTAGCGAGAATCGATTCCAATATTTTCAGGAGACTTCCGCTTGTTCTTGTGTTCAAAATCATACCTAATTCAAAATCCTCACGACATCTTGTTCCAGCATAGGACACTAAACATAAAAAACCAAGTTGGATAATCTTACAAGTGATTCACTTCACATTTGTACAGGGCGACGTTAAAATTCATGTTCTTCTGTTGTTCGTCATAAAGCAACAGACATAACTCGCATCAACAAATGCAATGTACATTGGAGAGTCAAAGAAATTTTATAGGAAATATATTGGCTCTCTAAAAAGCAAATATATCTTTCCAAATATTTATCTGCCTGAACAAATTTCTACAGGAAATGTGTTGGCAATTTTAGCCTTCTGATCTTGTTTGTATTTTGGCATGCCTTTTGTAACGGGTGGTTACCTGGGAATAGCGTATTAATAATAATTTTAATGGCTACGATTTCTTTCAGTAATTATTTCCATTGCCTCCAATAATTAAACTTTTCTATTTTGTAACTCTTACACTACGTATCGCATAGCATAAATGTGTTTGTAAACGGATGTTAGAGAACCAGTTTAAACCAATTTATGACATGTTTGTCATTGTATGAAGGCACACGGAGCATTGATTTACAGACAAAAAAACTAACATCAACGCATTCACACCTGGTTTGGCGGCCTTACGGTTTTCCACAAAATTTCAACTTATTTGTTTATACATCATGTGTACTCGATGACAGTGTTGGGGATGTTGGTTCCCCAGAACTCACTTGGGGAAAGTGCTACTTTTGGATATTTTATGCTTTCTCGCCTAGGCTGCTCAGTTGACCTTGAGGTTACATTTTCCACTAGGACAATGATGATCATGCCATTTCGTGTGCTTAAAGTAAACAGACCATCTAAATGCAGATGTAATGGTAAGTTTAACCAATCTATTAACACGTAACAGAATTGGGGCGAATCAAATCAGGAATGGTCACTCTGAACATACATATAAGCAACAGAAGCAACATTTGACAAACGTAAACATATCGATGACCTAGCAGTGACGGTAGAAAAGGATGCAAAAGAAAGAAACTTGAGACAGTAGTGCGGTAACAACGAGGGAGCTCGCTGGAAACTATCGTAAACCAGAACGACCAGTTAAAAGCAAGGAGGGCACAGTAACTAGTGGCATTAAAGAACAGTAAAATTGGTAGGTGAAGCACTCTAAGGAACTTTTGAATCCGTCAGTCAAAATGAACCCACCAAACATCGAAAGAGCACTAACAGACGTCTTAATCGATGTTGGCCGACCAACAGTTGAAGAAATCAGAATGCCAGTCAAGCAAGTCAAGAGCAGCAGGTCTGTGCAGCAGGACTATGCAGCATTCCAGCACAGGCAATGAAAACAGACGTGGCAGCAGCTGCAAAAATATTTCATACTCCCTTTAGAAAATTTGGGATGAAAAACGAGTACCAACCGACCGCATCAAAATATCAAGGAAAGGCGATCTCAGCAAGTGTGAGAACTACAGAGGCATCACTCTTCTCTCAGTACCAGACAAAGTCTTTGACAGGAGGTTGTTAAACATAATGAAGAACTCCATAGACACTCAACTTCGTGATCTTCAGCCTGAATTCCGAATAGATCATTCTAAATTACGTATCATTCTTTTGAATGGGGCTCACAACTCTACATCAGCTTCATTGACTACGAGAAAGCATTCGATAGCTTGGGCAGGACAACACTATGGAGGCTTCTTCGACACTATGGCATGTCTGAGAAGATAGTCGACATCAAACAGAATTCTCATGGAGGATTAAACTGCAGTCGTGCACGGAGGTCTGCTGACAGACTCGTTCGATGTGAAGACCGGTGTCAGGCAAGGTTGCTTACTCTCACCATTTCTCTTTCGACTTGTGATCGACTGCATTATGAAGACGTCAAAATCTGGAGGAAGCACGGTGTACAGTGAAGAGCCAGGATGCAATTGGGCCCAGATAGTTTGGCTCTTCCACCGCACATTCAACAACTAATGCAATAGAAGATGACCAATCAATCAGCAGCCTCAGCAGCAAATACCCACATTCATAGAGGGAAAAGCGTGATTATTCAATCGAACTCAACATGCACTAACCAAACCATTTTTGATGGAGATGCCCTGGAGTAAGTAATAACCTTTACATCATTGACGAACAAGGTGGATCTGATGCAGATGATAAGGCAAGGACAGGCAAAACAAGGGCTGCATTTTTACAACTGAACGACATCTGGAACTGGAAACAAATGTCAAAAGAACACCGAGGTCACAATTTTCATTACCAATGTCAAAAAGGTAATTTGTGTGTAGAGGAAACTTGAAGAACTGCAGAAGCCATCATCTTGCGGATACAGGTATTTATTAACAGTTGTCTATATATGATACTTCGGATCCGTTGACCAGACACCATCAGCAACAACCGACTGAATGAGAGAAAGAAGCAGATACCAGAGGAGGAGCGAATCAGGAAGAAACGCCGGAAGTGGGTAGGACACACACTGCGGAAGGCACCTAACTGCACTACAAGACAAGCCCTCATTTGGAACTACCAAGGCCATCAAGAAAGAGGAAGGCAGAGGAACATGTTACAACGAGTATCGGAGGCAGACATGAGAAGAATGCACAAAAGTTGGACAGAATTGGAAATATAGGGTCAGAACAGAGTGGCTTGGAGAATAGTGGTCGGTGGCCTACGATCCATTGGGGTTGACAGATGTAATTAAGTAAGTTAGTTAGTGCTTTCTACAGCACTGTTATTGTTTCCTCAGCCCTATATACCACTTCAAGATGATATAAAGGCAAGCATCCTTTCTCACCTATGACGAAAATATGTAAACACTCCATGACCACCGAAGCTTCAATGACACCACCAGATTATCCGACAATTTTATAACATTTAAACATTTCCCCATATCTAGCAGTCTTGGGTATTTTCCTGTTTTATAGACTGAGCCAGTGTTTCATTAACTGGTTTAAATTTCACTGGAGATTACACTTCAGGGCCAATATTTTGCTATATTTGTGTTCTTCCCCGGGGTTATAGTAGTAAGCGGTAGTGATGTGCTTACACAATACAACATATTGGATTTAAGGGAGGCTATGTCAGAATCATCTGAGTAAACTATTAGTGGGCTACATGCGTGAAGGTTTATTCATATTTATGACACATCATTTCTAATTCTTTAAATCAAGAAAGTTTGTATGAACTTGCATAACATTAAATTCCATTAGATACTTTTACACATTAAAAATGGATCGAACGTATTTCAAACCACTTTATTCATCTTCTTAGCATTCTATTCAACTTGATACACGTTGCGAAGTTCATTTCTACAGTCAAAGCCTGAGACATAAATAGGAACCTTCATACTCTACTTTAATGAAAATAATGTGGATGCTGATGGATTATAGCATTTGTTATAAATTAGGAGGCAGATGGAGAAGACATGACTCATCAAAAAGTCTGGTATTCATGTGGAGAGGCTGGACAAAGTTTTAAAATACTACTTTCCAAATTACTGTACTGCATACTGGTACGGAATTAACAATGTGATGGCATGCTGGTCAGTGTTATACTGACTTGTTGGACAAATAGTTTTTAAGATTAACATTTTTAGGAAAATAATTTAAGGTAATTACTGTTTAGTCATAAAGTTGGGGATGTCACAGTTATTCTTAGTCTGGCAACGTTCCTGGCCGTAACACTTTTCAGGCCAAAAATATCAAAAAACTAGTCATACCAGAAGTTAGGAATGAAGAAGATGGAAGAAATGTCTGGAGGATGGTTAGTATGTCGAGGAGTGAGCGAACTAGACTTGTAAATCGGCTTGAAAAAGGATGCGTAGCATGGCATATACAATGGTGATCTGGTACGAATACGTGACCAAGTGTGGTCAATGAGGGTTCGTTCAGCGAAGTAATTAAGGTAGGTATCAATGTCGAAGACCTACAGAACTATTTATTTATGTCAAGTTATCATAAAGCTAGTTTCGTTACTTTTACGGGGTAAATTGTGTTGGAAAACTCAAAATTAAAGCGCTTTGGCGATATACGATTTATAATAGACAGATGCATATGCGTAAAAACCATATCAAGGACTAAATCCAGGTTGGTATTTTGCTCTTCCATCTAGTGGATGACACCCGAAACTGGAAAGCTTAACAAGTGATATCAAATTCACTGTTGAATGCTTTCAAAAAGAAACAGGATTAGAAAAAATCATCCAGTGATTACTGTAGGTCTTCAAACTTATTAACCTTTCTCTGAAATATGAAGAACAATTATTGTGTATTGAAAATCACTTTTGCGAAGTTTTAAATGAGTGCGTTTGATCCCGTCCTTTGTAGCTGAGGCTTGCCGCAATAAATATAGTTCTTGGTTGTTTTCTGGGCGTCAGGAAGTAACGCGAACTTTTCGATTTGTATCAGTTTTCCAGTTAGGTCGTTAGAGTATTCATGAATATTTACAAATGAGTAGTATGGTTCTCTTGATCTAGTTTCGTCCTATTATTGATATTTGTAGACTAACTTTTCACTGCGAATAAATATCATTATTTTGGGTCTTCTATAGTTTCCACTAGGCGAAACTTTTAAAGGTTTCAACTTTTTGCTGTTTTAGACTTAGGTGATGAGCTTTTGCTGTTGTGCCTGCAAAGAGTATATTTGTAATTATTTTTCGAATATTTGCAGTCATGTTCATGCATAATAATAAATAGCAGTTCAGTGACCAATATGTTCTTCATTCTTTCATTTCTCAGTTAAACACCCTATTAATACTTTTTATGTCGACAATATCTAATTTCAGATGAACCTTGGAACCTTTTTAACGCAAGTCCTGGTTCACCCACACAGCGGGTTTCTAAACGACAATATCGGCTGGCACACCAAACGTTGTGTATCACTCACATTGACTTTGAACAACGTATAGTTGTAGGATTTACTCAATTAGTGATATGGCCTATCACATCAACTTTGAGGCGTATTCACTTAAATTGTCGTCAGTGTCGTATTCACCGCATTTTACTAGAAGCAGCTGATAATGAACCTGCAGAGTTCGAAAATGATCGGAAAGGGCGGACTTCAGGTTGGGGCATTTCAAAAACCAAATTAACTCCATCTCCAACTGATCTCCCTATCCTATATACTGACCCAACTTTGGAAATTTGTGAACGCGATATTAAGTTGAGAACCTTAGACAGCTTTGAACGCCGTTACTCCTCCGTTGTAACGTCCACAGATCCGGATGAAGATGCAGGTGAAGTAACAGTTCGTTTACCTTCAGATTTCTGGCCACTAATTTCTCAAAAGTCTCCCTTCATATTAACCATAGAATTTTCGCTCAATAAACCAAAGTCCGGATTTTATTTCGTTGTTCCTGAGGGAGAGGGATCACTAAACGAACGTGGAGTGCATGCATTCACAGCTTGTACACCAAACTCTTCTCGTTTATGGTTTCCTTGTATCGACTGCTCGGAACCATGCACTTGGAAAATTGAAGTTACGGTGTTCGAAGATTTAGTTGCTGTTGCCCCTGGAGAGTTAATAGATGCTCCATATTACACTGAAGATTTAACACATAAGACCTATCACTTTTATGTCTCCCAACCGGTTGCAGCGCCTTATATTGGACTAGCTGTTGGAGCTTTCGAAATTTTCCCCGATCCACGGCTGTCCAATGGAGCAACACACTTCTGTCCGAATGGATTATTACCTCTTTTACAACACACAATATCCCCACTCTCCGAAATGGTAGAATATTACGAGTCAATCTTAGCATCACAGTATCCCTTCTCCATGATAAAATGTGTATTTGTAGATTGTGCTTTCTCAGACTTTCAGTCGTTCTCTTCTTTGATTATTCTCTCTGTTGACCTACTGCACTCACCAAGAGTTATTGACCAAGCAATAGAAACACGCAAGGTATTGTCATTAGCTGTAGCCCATCAGTTCTTTGGGTGTTTCCTTATCATGGAAACATGGTTTGATGCTTGGCTTACATACGGTCTGGCAGGATACTTATCTGGTCTGTACCAAAAACGAGTCTTTGGAAACAATGAGTATCGTAAAACTGTTCTTGATGAAATGCGCTTCGTGACAGAGTTTGAAAATATGAGATATGGGATTGTACTTGACCCATCAAAATTGACTTCGAAATTTACCTATTTTGACTTGAGCTCATCCCATGTAAGTAATGTAACTGTTTCATTTTATGTTCGATGTTTTATTGTCAAGATATTTTAGTTTCCTTAGGTTCAATTTCTGTATTTTCATACGAAAATTACCAGTCTTTATTAACTTCAGATACTTATATCCCCAAGTAATTTATCAAACACTTAAGCGGAATTCCCAGATAATCGTTACCCATATAGAAAAGGCAAGGTATCGGTACTACTTTCGATTTTAAGCTCCCCATATATCTATATAAACGTAGTAACTTTGGCTTTTGCACCAAGTCTTTTGTTATATGGATAGTATCGTTGTTTATTATTTTAAATGCCACAAATTCCAAGAATTTTATTGCTTCTAGACTATAAGATTAACTGATTTTACAAGTTAAATTTTATTGGGAAATTCAATATCTTTATTTCTTTCTTGGTGAAATGTTTGATATCTATAATCAAAACGACTTAAGAAATAGTTGGTTGTAAATATTTGCATGTAAACTAAGCTTAGTTCGTTACTTTAGTTTGAGAAACAACCACTGACATACTTTCGTTTGATTATATATATCATATTGAATGGCAATACATATCAGTGCTTGTTGAGTCCTAACTGAAAATTCCACAGTATACACAATCGTTTTGAATAACGTTTATGTTTGGGCATTTTATAAAGAATTTTTATTTCCGTTTGATGCCGTTATTTAGTAGTGGTTCTCATTCAAGCCACATACTCAATCAGTATTCTTATTTATTACGCAAAACTAAATAAGATCACGATGGAAATTAATTTTTTGGAATCGCTTTTCTCCACTGTGATTCGGACATTTATGTCAAAGTTTCTGGGGTTAACAACCTTTGCACCAGTTCGTATGTGCGTGCAGTACCAGTTAGTGATAATTTCGAATGAAGTTAATAATCATCTCATATTATATGCCATGGATAGCAATTTTAAACTGTTATTACTTTACTTTAGGTAAATTTTCTTTGTGTTATCCTAACTTTCTATTTTACCTGACCGCAGATACGACCTTGATATGATGTTCAGGCTCTCTATATTGACTGAGACATATTTTCCTTTGGTTCATACCATGTTAAGCAGATTGATTTCAGGACCATAAGTTTAAAAGTAACAACTTCAGGTTTGTGGGGGGAGTCATATTGCTGACTGTAGAGGGGTATCATATCAGTAAAGTGTTTCCCTCGGCTAACCAACATCTGCAGCGATTCTGATTTCTCACAAAAGAAGGAAGGGGTTAGAAAACATCGACTCTTTAACTGTCACACCTCACCCTACCTCATGAATTTCCGTCTCCGGCGATATGGCCTTTTGAATTACGAAGCCGACACATCAAAAGCTTATCCTAGAAAGACTATGTGCTATCGGCTTCAAGTAGAGAGTACTAGGTAAAGCTAGTAAATTTCCGTCGACTGAAGTGGTTAGAAAATGTGCTGTGTATCCCCAACCACCGATTACCTCGACGAGTGATATTGTGTAGTGTAGGAGTACGTTAGAAAAAAGCCAGGAGCGGTCAAATCAGGACGTAGTGCCAGTGCATGGAGACATCGACAGTTAGGCTTAGCCATGTAACCAGGTCTAGATTACTGGGTTATCATAACCAATACTTGGAGAGTTTGAATGATATGATTCAAAATGATTCGTAATGGCACAGGTGTATTCACCCCTTGTCTCCTCCTAGGTTAGAATTTAACAAATTCCTCATTATTTAGCTTATTTATATTTTTTGGAATTTTATCTTTGGTGGCTGATTTTTTAATCATTACTAATACAGTTGCAGTCGCCATGACTCTGTGAATTTCCCTGAAAACTTCGTCTGTCTTTGCTGACGAGGGTATGAAAACCTAAACTGATGTACACACCAGATTTCCCGTTACGTTTAGTTGATTCAAATGAACTCCTTATTCTACTTTATATCTATACGGGTTATACCTCCCCTTATAATTATTTAAATGGACACTAATTCCTTTCTGTTTAACCTGTATTAAGTTGATAACTGTTCGATCTCTAAAATCTGTCTCCAAATGAAATACCTGGCACACCGATATTGGAACCATCCGTACCGTCCAAATTCTCCACCCCCAACGTTAACACATTGGTACCGATCAGATGATACATAAAATTGTCTATGATACCATGACGTTTCATTATCGATGCTTTGCTGTATATTAGACGCTCGTTTGCGACATTTTAATGAAACATTAAATAATATTTCTTCATGGACGTGAAGGCTATTCGCTTACGCTTTGAGGAATGTCTTTTGAGTGACCACTGCACACTCAATCACAGATCGGATAATGATTGTTTTTAACATCACTTTGCAGCGTAAAACCTTTTTCTTATTAGTTCTAAATTTCCGTATTGTCATTGAAATCTGTTGTCTGGGTTTAACTTACTTAAATGACTATCAGCTACTGATGGCACGAATATTTATCGTAACCCCGCTCCTGCTCATCTGAATATTGTCCATATTGTGGTATGGGCCAGACTCATCCTACTCGTCAGCGTTCAATAAGTTCAGTATCTTCAAAAAATTGATGTAAAAAAAAACCTACTGGGACTACCATTGCTACCGAATATCAAACTGAGCTAGATTCGAATGTGGCTTTCAACTTGTCTACGGCAGTTTTATATTAGATTTTTAAAGGTAAGGTAAATCTTTCAACTGAACAAAATCTGTCTTGCTTGTTTCCTAACCCATATTAGTTTATAACGAATACTCTTTTTTACTCATTGAAAACGTGATGCTTCTGTTCTTACACAATGTTATCACCCCACTTTATGAGGTACACTTTTTACAGCAGTATTGTAAAAATTTATGTTATAGTTAAAATTGTTTCTACTTATTCCTAAATGAAATATTCCTTTGTAAAAAAAACTAGTGACTTATCACTACTCGTATTTGTCGTTGTATAATTCCTATCGGCTGTTTCTGAGCTGTTTTTCGATGTAAGTGGGTTCTTATGATTCCATTACTTTCATTCATTTTTCCTCTTGTAATGACCTATTATAATATTGCTGTCGAAAACTCGACTATTCGACTACTTTTGGAATATCCAGTTTATCATTCCTATCAGTGATAACTGTTTTCATGATCCTAGGTAAAAAGAAACTTGATATATTCTTTCATAATCGTTTTTGAATATCTTCATTCTGAATCTCGTAAATAGGACGGTTTATCTTTATGTACATTAGTTTGTTGCATAAAACAATCAGGATTAGGAACTACAAATTACTAAAAGTAAGTTTATGATATTTTCTTATCTTAATTTCGTTTTGTTTTCCATTTAATAGCTGATATCACCAGACTATTTGTCAGCCTATAGGAAAAAATCTCACTTAGTAATTCGTATGCTGGAATTACGATTGGGTCAACCCGTTTTACTCCAAGTTCTTAACAAGCTGCTTGTACTTGCCCGACTTTCGACTAAATCAATCCTCTCTGCTTCAGATCAAAATCAAAGTGTATCGGCTGGATTAGATGGATGTGGAAGAAATGAAGGTGATTCTGTTCTGTTAGATTCAAACACTCAGTCTCAAAAAAATCCTACGGTTCCTCCCTGTATGGCAGATGAACATAGAACCAATATTTTACTATCTACAATTTCTTTCCGGAGGATTATTTCTATGGTTACTGGTCAAGATATCCGAAATTTCCTAAATCAATGGGCATGTCATGCTGGTCACGTCAGAATATTTGCTAAGTTTCATTTCAACCGTAAACGAAATGTAGTAGAACTAGAACTAAAACAGGTGATTATTTTACATTATATTTACTAAAATCTCCATATTTCACTAAAGATATTTCAATCAGCTTACGTGGGTATAATTTTGATTTTAGTCAAGAACTTTCACTCTTGGCCTCTCTAGATTTAGACATCGGTTCTTCAAATACCGTGACGCTCAAGTCTAGGGGTGACCAAACCAAAACATGGCACAAATCCATGAAGTCACTGACAAGTGGACTGAGTCATGTTGATAGATGTAGGCTACCTGGTTGGGGTCCGCGAGATGAAAGTCACCGAGGGTTAGAGACGTTGAATGACATGGCTCAAAATCATTTGCAATGGCGCAGGTGCATCCACTCTTTGTGTTTTCTCAAATTCTAATCTGAATTCCTCATCATCTCTTTCTTAAGTTTTTTCACTGAGTGATACTTCCTGGATCATATCTTTGAACCCTAATCTATCCTATCACTGTTAATACTCCTACTATCTCTACCACTATCGGATTTGAACTGACAGTTGCATCTCTGTGCTAATGTAGCATTGCTACTTGAACTTATGAACTCATGTACGAAGTTCTACATTGTAACTGACTGATTGAATCATTATTCGAATAGTAACTATGCGAAACCTACATATTTCGAGCGTGTTTTTGAGGAGCCGTGAATAGTAATTTAAGTAGTAAATTGCAGAAATTCGTTCGTGCGAAAGTAACTTTTATGATTGCCTCAAATCAAAATCAGTTTTATTGAATTAGTTGGTAGATTTCTTTCCGACTAGTTTGATCATAATATTTACGACGAAAACGTGTAGTGATGAAATATGTGTGATGCTAATTAATAATTAAGTACATATAACTTGTGTTTGTCGTATTGATTAGTTTTTAACCAGTAATTTCAAGTAGAATAAAAATTGCTAACTTCTATTACTTACTGGTCACAATGAACTGCACTATTCCTCCAATTCATGAGTTAGTGATCATATAAACAAAATTTAACACTTTATCTCCCATTCTTCTTGATTGGATCCTTATATGATTGATCAACTTCACGAATCGTAGATCGATTTTGCGGACTGAATGATACTTCTGTTGCACAATTGGTTTAACTAGAAACTAATGAAGGGGATTTCTGGAAGTTGTGTTATTTTCATCGTTGAAATCATAAATTGATCTAAGCTAGACTACCATTAGAAACCTTGGAGCACTGGAAGGCCGTTTTACCTCCGCACGCGGTAACACCATTGAATGCCGACTACGTGGTCTAGAGGTTTATCGATCGCGCGCGAGTCCAAAGGCCCCTGGTTCGATTATCAGGTATCGGGTCATGGATGCACACTGCTAGAAAGTTCCATACTGAAATAAAACGACCGTCTAGAGCTTCTGAGTTTTCAATAGTGAGTCTTTCAACCTGGTTTATTGTAAACATGCTTAATAACCAGTTATAATCAATTTCTGAACGCTTTTCTTCAAAGCGTCAGTTCATTTTGAATCTTCTAATGCATTCAGCTAGAAAAACAATTCCTGAAGCTATATTTACTGATCCAACATGTGACTGATCTGAGTCCACTTATGTCGATTCATTGTGAGATGAAAAACTTTTACCAGAAATCCGAAAGTGTATATTTTGTGGTGACTAACGGTTCTTTGTAATAATTATCTCAAATAATAAATAAGATTCCAGTTATCTGTGCATATTTAAAAGGTAATTTAATTGTGTTCAACATTCATTTTTACTAAGTACTGATACAGAAACTTGCATTACATGTGAAGAAATGAGTATTTGAAAACTAAAATTTATTTTAGGATCTACAATCAAGAGGAACTTTGAATTATACTGGACCAATTACAGTTATGCTCCAAGAATTGGATGGAGCGTTTATGCATACTTTCAAATTAGAAGAAGGCCGTATGTCTCGTGATTTACCATGTCATTCCAAAAGTCGGAAACATCGTAAAAAGAAAATTTCGTTAGCCAATGGCGATGAAGTTGATATGGATTTAGCTCGCATTGATCCAGAATCACCTTTACTATGGCTTCGAATTGATCCAGACTTAGCTATCATACACGATATCCACGTTGATCAACCAGATTTTATGTGGCATCTTATGTTAACTCATGATAGAGATTGTCTCGGTCAACTGGAAGCAGTAAACGCTCTTAAAGATTTCGCTTCTCCTGAAACACGCCATACTTTAAGTAACATTATTTTAAATGAAAGAATATTTTATCATGTTAGAATGGAAGCATGCTTTACATTGTGTCATGTTGTGAACGAATTAAGCACTCTCAGTAACAACCCTACAGCAGCTTCTGCTGCTGTAACTTCTTGTTTACTACCAGTATTTTGGCAGTTGTTTAGTTCACCGGCAGCTCGTGGTTTAATTCGTCAGAACAACTTTACTAATTTACAACATTATTTTCTACAGAGAGCTATGGTCAAAGCTTTATCAACTCTACGTGTGCAGCAAGTCTGTCCTCATGACGTGCTGATTTTCATTAGTGATTTATTAAGGCATAATGATAATTCGCGTAATCCTTACTCTGATTGTTATTACGTTTCTGACCTTGTAAAGGCGATGAAGGATACTCTAACACCTGCAATTATTGTTCGTGGAGTGATGTCTGCCTCAACACTACCTTTTGAAGCACGTACTGTTATTGAGGAAGTTTCCCATTTGCTTAACTTGGAGACGGAAACAATAAGTTATAAGGGTACTGTAACTGTTGTCTGTTTAGCAGCTATAAGGCGGCTACAACGACTTGGATTCCTACCCATAGATCCTAGTTTATTCTACCAGTATGCTTTGTCAAACTTTTACTGTGATATCAGAGTAGCGGCAATTGAAGCTGTCGTGGATTACATAAGAGGTGAACGAGATCAGTCGGCATTGGACTGGCTCTTTAGCAACATCATAGAACGAGAAGATGTCAGTGATGCTTCTTATGTTCGCCTTCGCTTTGAGGCTGTACAGTTATTACTTCGCATGCCACCGTTTCAACGTGGTGAATCTGGGAGTCGATTAGACACTCCTCAACTTGTTGAAAGGCTTTGGACACTGATGAATTATGGATGTACCGGCGATCCACGGCTTCGATGTGCAGTCGCCGAACTCTACTACACACTTTACGGTAATCGTCGTCCAACGTGTCTTCCTCTTCCAGAAGGTGTGCTTCTAGTGAGAGTTAAAGAAGGGAGATCTGTACTTAATATATCTGAAAACAATCCTAAAGCTAGTGAAATAGAATATACCGATGAATTCAACAAATATAAATCTGAATTCTTAGGTAGAGGAGTTCCTCTTTCTAAAATGCATCCAGAATACGAAGAATTAGAAGATAATTACTCGGAGTGTGACATGTCACACACAAATAATTTGAAGTTGGATAGAGATTCAATCCAACGCCCCACTGGGTCAGAGTTTAATATTCAATTTGATCTAAAGCGAAGTAGAGCTGGACATTTCTCAGAATTGAGTGATTCATCCAATACTTTTAAAAGACGAACTGAACGTCTGAGTGATGATGACGATGAATAAAGTAAACGTGAGTTAACTGATTTCTGAAGTTTTTAGTGTTAATAAATGTTTTGTGTTTTTCTGTAGAATTATTATTATCTTTATTAGTTTCTTTTCGTAAACCTGGTACAAAATACGTTATTCAATCGCGCGCTTAAATGCCCTAGTACGGCCAACAGTGGGAAGAGCCGACTTTACCTCTCGAAATGCTCTCACATATCCACGCGTGCATGACCACTGACAGCAAAGTACTACTCAATACCTTTTCGTAGAGAGATATTGTTTACAAAATCGGGAGGGTAAAACACGAGTGTCCAGTGCTGAGTATGAAGAAATCATCTAGGGGAGCTGGAAAACCATGATTGCAAACCGAAATCCCGTTGAAACGAATGGCATATTAACCTATTTTTGTCACTTGCTATAATAGGACTGCGTCTCGTAACGTTGCTCCGCTGCCTTGTGGATTAGACTTTTGGGTCAAAGGACCACAAAGCGGCTCTCTAAGGAAACCACCAGCTTGGGTATGAGCGTCCAAGCAGTATTCCAGCCCAGTCACCAATTCAATAATTTGTGTGACCCATAAAAATTCTGGTGCTCCTGTGTACCAATGTTTATGTTTGAATAAATAAATAAATAATCCAACCGTAAAATTATTCATCCATAAATCTAGATTTTAATTAATGATTCAGTAATGAATTCATTTGGTTCATTCTTCTGTTCTTAATGCATGTTGGCATATTATGTTCATCATATTTTACTTGTTGAGTTATCACTTTTATCCAGACGATTAAAAGATTTGACTCACAATAGTTATGTAAAATAAAATTTTAATCTTTTTAAAGGATACATCGGTTAGGTCATGTTCCGCATATATTTTAATTTATTTTAGAATTGAAATTTTTCACGAACATTAGTATAGGCGGAAATCAAAGACCTGATTCAGTTGATAGTTTTATTACAAACTACATATATTAGCATATAAAAATTGGTTTCTTTTTACTGAATATATAATTACTCTATAAAAGTGATGTCGTTTCTGAGGTACCTGTTAGGAAACTAAGTTTCTAATATATATATATATATATATATATATATATATATATATATATATATGTATATATATATTTCTGAGCACGCAATATTCATTTGTTTTACCATGTTGTAGGAATATTGAACTTTTGGACTGGAGATCCTGGTTTCGAATCTGTTCACTGTTTTTCTTGTGGATGTAACTAGTCATTCATCTGTTTGTAAATATCTGTATATATACATTGTACTTTTGTTTTATAACAATCGAATAATATTTATTTGCTTCCTTGATTTTCTTTGTGCATAGTTGCGTAATTTTTAGATTGCAATCGATCATGAGATTATGAATTAATTCAAAATGACATTCGACTATTACCTAATAAGCTCGAGCAACAATGCAAGCATGTTCGGGATGAGGTTTTCCCCGTCGGAATGCAAAATTTTGCTTCAAGATTGGGTCGCATCGGTACCTGAACTAGTGATAGGGAGTGAAGTGGTTGGGCGTGCTGACCTCTTCACTTATCTTGGGAGTCGCGAAGGCGAGATATCCGTTTGCTGATCAAAGGGCGAGTGTACTGCGCGGTAGTTCGCTCCATCCTAGTTTATGGCTGTGAAATATGGCCAGTCAGAGTAGAAGATATTCGTAGATTACTTGTTTTCGATCATAGGTCCCTCCGAAGCATTGCTCGAGTATCGTGGGACAACCGAGTGAGCAATGCTGTTGTTAGGAAACGGGTGCTAAGTAAGAATGACAGGTCAATAGATCAAGTAATGAAACTTGTTTTGCGAGGGGCGGCTAGACCGAAACATGGCAGAAATGCATGCAGTCGCTGACAAGTGGACTGAGTCATGTTGGTAGATGTAGGCTTCTTGGTTGGGGTCCGCGAGATGATGATAATCGATCGTTAAAGACCCTGAGTGACTTGGCTCAAAACCGTTTGCAATGGCTCAGGTGCATTTATTCTTTGTGTTCTCTCAAATTCTAACCTTCTGAATTCCTCATCACCTCTATCTTTCTCTTTTTAAATTTACCTCACTGAATTATACTTCTTGAATAACATCTTCGAACTATGATCTCTCCGATTACTTCTAATACTTTCACTACCTCTACTGCTATGGGATTTGAATTGACAATTATATCTCAGTGCTAACGTGGTATGGCAACTTGAACAGCTTTACTTATGTGCAAAGTTCTACGTTGTTATTGATGATGACCTAATAAGTTCATTCATAGACTATTTCAGTATGACATTTGTTTAAAGTGGGATTATTCAACTTTCACGGTTTATCAATCCGAATTAAATAAATAAGTGCTTTTAGATATTACTAGTATTTGAATGTGGAAAAAGTTTTCTTCCCTGTCTTTGTTTTCTCTCAATTAGACGAAGTTATATTCCACTCATGTGTTTTTGTTCATTAAAAGAATTTACTTACACCTAATACCAATATACACTCGACAGTGTCTGCAGGACATGTTTAGTAAACAGAGGAGACAGTTTCCTTTACTTGAAAATAAAAAGGCTGAGTTCTTATCTGTAATCAATACACTGTTAAATGAACTTTATGCACTGTACTTGCTACATTCATGCATTCTGGTTAAAATTCGCAACTTCAATACTGTGAACCTAACTACCATCGTCTTTTCCCAGCCCCGATAATTAGAATAAAACACCAGTTTTATACATAAGGCTTCTTAATATTTACCCGGTGTTAAAAATAGTGAAAATACACTCAGTTTGTCAATTACATGTCAGTACAAAGTGATAAGAATAATGAAACTCAGTGTTTATCGTTACAAGTCATCGTAAAAAATTTATTGAAATTCCGCACATAGTATTCACACTAAGTAATTTACTACTACGCAATTCCTACTTAATTGTCATTGGTCTGCATTTCATTAGTTGTAATTGATGTTGCACCTTAGGGGAATCAGACTAACTAATAAAGTTTCTAAATTGTTAGCCTCAGTTATCCTTAGACGCCTAACTAGAGTTCGTGAAGCGCAGACTAGAGGAAACCAGGCTAGTTTCAGACCTGGTCGTGGCTGCATAGACAATATTTTCACACCACGACAGGTCCTGGAAAACACATTTAGGTGTCCTACAAAAGTTGCCTTCCTAGACCTTAAGGCGGCATTTGACTCTGTGGATCGTGAGGTTCTGTGGCAGTGTCTATCATTGAAAGATGTACCAAAGAAGTACATTAATCTTATACAAGCTCTACTCAAACACAACAGGTCGAGTGAGAGCCTATGGCGAAATGTCACCAGGATTTTCTACTTCCAGTGGTATCCATCTGGGCTGTCCACGTCGTTTTTTCAACTTTGTCATAGACTTGCTTTTAGAAATAACTAACTTCGTCTGACTTTTCAGGAGTGGATCTTCTACCAAGGGACACGCTTGCTGACTTTGAATATGTCGGTGACGTATTTCTACTTGATGAAGACTGACAAAATGCAGTCTTCTGACTACCCTAAGTAACAATGCAAGCATGTTCAGAATGCAATTCTCCCCATCGAAATGCAAAATGTTGCTGCAGGATTGTGTGGCATCGGCACCCGAACTAGTTATATGGAGTCAAGCTATTGAGCGTATTGACCGCTTCACGTATCTGGGGGGTCTCATCAGTGCTGATGGCCTGGTGACTGACGAAGTCTCGTCACGGATACGATTGGCTCCTGCAAACCTGTGTCATTTATGGCGTAGGTGAGAAATCCGTTTGCTGATCAAAGGACGAGTGTACTGCGCGGTAGTTTGCTCTGTCCTACTTTATGGCTCTGAAACATGGCCATTCAGAGTAGAGGATATTCGTAGGTTGCTGGTTTTCGATCATAGATGTCTTCGAAGCATTGCTCGTGTATGATGGGACACCCAAGTGAGCAATGCTGTTGATAGGAAACGGGTGCTAAGTAAGGATAACAGGTCAATAGATGAAGTACTGAAATTCCATCATTTGAGGTGGTTATGACCGGATTTACATATCCCCAACCACCGACTGCCTCGTCAAGCTGTTTGTCGATGTAGGAATAGGTTGGAAGTAAGTGAGGGGCGGCCAAACCCAAACATGGCAGAAATCCATGAAAATTCTTTTTCAGAATAACCACTATCTGAGAATCTGAAGCTCAGAAATAGTATCAACAAAGTAGCTTACAGTATAAACAAACTTTAAATAAAATAAACAGCGATAACAGTGATGATAAGTGTAGTACATTCAGCCAATAACGAGATTTTGTTGAATTACAAATAAACTAGTATGGACGGTGCATAAGAAAAAAGGAAAGACAGTTTTTAAAAACTATTCAATAAATGATACCTATCTTCAGTTTTTTAAACATTTTCTTATAGATTACTTATATTTGTATTAGTAATTGGACATAAAACTAACGGCACTGTCATAATTCTCACCCAACATCTGATATATATATATATATATATATATATATATATATATATATATATATATATATATATATATATATATACTTATTTAATTTATATACTATTAGAAAAACAGGTGATATATTTTCTACACTAGAAAATCTGTATGATTTATTCTTAATGGTGTATTAATAGTGCAAATTGAGAAGTTAAACTAAATGAATTGAAAGCATTCAATAAATATGCACTAATAAAATCAGCTTTACAACAACAACATCAGATCATTCAAATTTTCTAACAATAAAATGCATGTAACATCCTTAATTCATTTTTAAACATTCATTAGAAAAGACATGTTGAAATAATTGTTTATACATGACACTTATTCTGTTTTCTTTTATTTGAAAAATGAAACTTTTGCCTATTGATATATTATTTGAAAAAAGAACACAAATTATACATTTCTTAATGTCATGACTACGTGAACAATAAATCGCTATTCATTGTTATAGTTATCATCAATGTTTTAAACAAAACAAAAAAATTATTCACAATATGAAACCATAATACCACTAACAACAATAAATTCATATCTATAAAACTACCAATTACATGCTCTTATCTGAAATTTGATTGGCTTACATTTCTAATTGTTTGCTTTGATGCAGTAATTTTGAGCATTTAAATAAATTTTCTTCAGTGACAGAATAAGGAAACGTATTTTACGTATATATTTTTTTTATCGTATCATGTTACTGATATTTATTTTGATTACATCAAGTAAGTTATTTCACATGGTTTTAAATTTTTCCCTTGAAAGTTATTCTATTCTCATTTATTTTAAAATGAAACTAGCAACAATCGAAGAACATTAAACGAATTATAAAAATTTGTATTAATCAAAGAGTTGAAAATTGTTTTCTAATGTGTCAAAGGTTAATGTTTATTTACCTTGATGACATTAATATGTATGGCTTTGTTTTTTTTATTTGATATGACTAGCTAGTTATTTTTTGACACTTTAGGCCTTTTTAAAATACGCGCCAGCGCATCAGTTGTTCAGTGTTCACTGGTTTGATATGCGTTTAGATGAAGTTAAAAAACGATGAAAACTGAATTGTCCATCCCAACAATTCAACCAAACACTATACACTTCAAAAAATCAGAATTCTTGTCAATTCTACATATTTATAACAAAGAAAATACACTAGCCTATGATGAAATACTTAAATTATTTGTAAAAAAAACTGATATTATTCATAAACATTTCAAATGTTCATAATCATTGTTACATATTATGATAATCAATAATTTGAGCTTATCATTTTGAAAGTGAAATGATTTAGCATATTTTGCATGACTCTCACTGATTTAATTTATTTTATTTTTTAGCATACTCTATTCCACTAGATTTTCCATGTTACGATGATACATGGTTTTATTCAAATGAAACAGGAAAATGTTATAAATCAATATTGGGAGCACAGAAATTACCATTTTCTAATGCTTCAGAAGCTTGCAAAACGTACTTAAAAGATGTTTCGAATGTTTCAATAAGTTTAGTGAAATTTTCTGATGAAAATGAAGCTGATGCATTTGTGCAATTGTTATCTGAAAATGCATTTAAAGAAACAATTTGGATTGGAGCTAATAGAAGCGGTAAATGATTTTTAAATAGATTTATCTATTCCTTATTGACCATGATTGGTATTTAGTTTGATTAGTACTTTTGGAGTCAAAAATAATCTTAGGTTATCATACAGTATGATAAAACTATCGTTTAACATGAGCTGTGTAGTTTTTAAACTTCTGTCTTCATCATGATGGCTACTGTCATCATCTGCATAATCCTTCGTAGATAAAATCGATCTGCTATCTGAAAACATCAAACTAACCTCATCGAACACCATTCAATATGAAATTGTCAACTTACGAACTTTATTAAAGAAATCCTTCTACCGTATATGATTACAAACTGTCTGATTGTGCATAAATATCTCAAAATGTTTCTTTGATTACGATACAGGCTTCGCAGTGAATACTTTACTTTCTAATGTATAGTGATTTTATAGCTTTCTTCTAGAGTCTCACATTATTTGATGCATTTTCTTTTATCTTCCATTACATCTTTTGATTGTTTTACAAAATCTTAATTGACTATTGATGAATATTGTGACAATGCTATTTAGTACCATCTGACAAGTGTACTACATTGAAGAGTACATTGACATCTGAAAATTATAAATTTCCCTACAATACAGATTATTGTATGGTAATCTAATCATCACCAAATGTAAGATCCGTATAAGTTTTAGGCCATTCAGTTGGTGGATAAAGCTTATTTTTATTCATTTTTTTAATGTACTCATCTTTCTTGTAAATTAGTCATGGATAATTAATAATATTTCAACTACTAACAGTTAAGAATTTAGTCGTTTGGATAATAATATAAAATGCATTTAATCAGGATCAAGTAATAATGAATACATCAGTCTGTAATGACTAGTGAGTGTTATTACTTTTCCTGTTTGGTCAAATGACTTGATATTAGTTGTAATAAATGGCTAGTTAACAAGATTGTTTTTAAATTTATATTTTAGATGCAAAGCAACCATTTGTTTGGTATATAGATGGTAGTACAGCTCTTTTCAGCTATACTGATTGGTCTGAAGGTACACAACCAGGAAATTGTATTAGCTTCTCATACTCAACTCAGCCAGTATCTGGAACAGATAGGTGGACTATAATTAAAACGATTGATAATCAACCATGTAATGTGATGCGCTCGTTCATCTGTGAACATAAAGGTTTGTTTTAAGACATTTCAGTAAAAGTATACTTTTGAATTTTTATTTTAAATTAATTTATAGTAGATAAATTATCGTAATTTCCAGCGCTATTTTAGACTACTTTCCAGAAGGAAAGATTGAGAAAACACTCATGCTAAATATAAGGTTTTTCTCTTAATGTTATTAATCGTTTTTAACCTTGAAAAATCCATAATCTGATAAATGTTTTACTAACTTACACCTGTTACCCACAATCGAGCATAGTCTAGTCCAGTCTATTCTGTCCTGGGCCTCCCTTTCCAGCTCAATCAAATATTTGTTCATTCTTCTCATATCTGTCTCCGTTTCCCGATGGAATGTGTTTTTTGGTCTTCCTCTTTTCCTTTGACCTTGAGAATTCGAAGTGAGAGCTTGTCTCATAACGCAGTTGGGATCTTTCCTCAATGTGTAGCCTATCCACTTGCAGCAATTCCTGGTTTCTCCCTCCGCTAGAGTCTGGTTTGTTCTCTCCCACAGTAGGCTGTTGCTGATGATGTCTGGTCAAAGAGTCCAAAGTATCATATGTAGGCAACTGTTAATAAACACCTATATCTGCTGGATGATGGCTTCCCCAGTTGTTCAAGTTTCCACTGCATACAAAAGAACTGTTTTGACATTTTTATCAAAAATTGTGACTTTGGTGCTTATTGTTAGTTGTTTTGAGTTCCAGATGTTGTTCACTTGTAGAAATGCTGCATTTGTTTTCCTCATCCGCACCTTCATATCTGCCTCAGATGCGATTCCAAGCACCTCTATGTTGTATCTCTTCATCTCTTTAGCAATTTGGGACAGTTTTCCAGTCGCTCACATTGTTCGAACATTCCTTGTACCCAAAAGAATGGTTGCACCGATTATCAAAAAGGCATCTATCTCGTGACTCCCGAAGCAACTCGGCTCTCAACATGAGATGTTATAACTCTTCTGAATAAAGACCTTCTAACTCCCAGGGAAGAGATTGAATTGTTCCAACTATCATTTCTTGTTAGTTTTCCATGGGATGGGGTCACCTACCCCACGCCCAACCATCTCCCTTTATCCGAACTTGAGATCGGCAGTAGCCCTTCAGCGGCTCCAGGCGCAGTTAGTGTTTTAGAGACCATAATTTGTGTGCTAAATTTTCGTTGTACAGTAATTAGTAACAGAGGTATAAGCATAGAAGTATGGCGATCAATGTTAGTCACTCATTTATTATATCACCATATATCAAAAACCACATAGTCCCTCTAGAAATTAGAGCAGACCAACCCAAAGCTAGCTGTCAATTAATAGCAGATTATCACTAAGTTAATCAACCTTTCAGAGATCAGTTGAATTATAACATCTATTACAAACTGTCTTATGAAACTTCTTTCTGGTATTTTGTTTAAATCTTAATCCTTCTGTAGTTCATGTAAGTCTATGACGAAGGTTTTCCTTAAATTAAACAAATTTTTATACACTCTGAATTCTTTTTAAAAGATAACAAGATCTTTGTGGTACAAAATCTCCTTTATTATTTCTATACTTTTTTATATTTCCCAAAATCCATTCCGTTCAGTTCCACTTTGTACAAATCCACCAGGAGGATTTAATTCAAGTACAATGATTTTAAAACCATCAATTATGGCTCCAGGATCTATTGTACAAGTACAATGTGCACCTGGTACATTAAAAGATCCTTATACCTTTGGTAACAGAATGACTGGTGCTTATGTGGATTTAAGCTTATCAGAGAATTCATATAAATGTACAGGAAAACGATTTAATGATAGTTCTAATCCTGTAGATCCATTAAAATTTCAACCACAACTATTCTATTCAGGTTATTTACTCCCGAATTGTTCATGTAAGTATTTCAATCTCGGAATTAGTCAATTTAAAAAAAAAAATTCATTTATTTCTTTTTTTTTATAATTTTCTAAATTCCATTGTCATATTTGTATATAAACGAAATCATAATATGTTTATTGTTATTTAAAAAGAAGCTGATTAGTTTTAATATCGTAGACTTTTCCACATAACGAAAATATTCATTATTTAGAATAAATGAATAGGTTCCACATTTTATCCATTTATATATATTTATTTTGGAAGGGTATTAGAAATGAAAGTAAAGTTAAATCATGTTGCTTAATCGCATCCAAATATTGATTATTCTCTTATATAAAGGTTGGAACCTTTTAAAAGATACAGGCTAATTTTAATTTGTGTAATTTATCTGGATAAAAAAAAATTGGCATAGATTTTGCATTGAATTCATTATCTGCTCTACAGTTTTAAATAGAGATCTTCTTATCATCACCATCTCACCAATGTTGTTCACTTTCCATGTTTTTATTTAAATTTTTTATTTATAAACATTGCTTTGAAAATAATACTTTCATCATTCAGCCTAGCAAGAATTTCTCTCCTCCCAGGAGATTCACATTTTAACTTCGATTGTACAGTTAATAGTTCTGTTTGATGGAGACTCTGACAAAATACAGTCTTCTAATCACTTTGAGCAAAATATCGGAATGCGTTTCTCTCTATCTAAATGCAAAATGTCGATTCAGGGTTGATATAGATTTTACTTGACCACTCATGCATTTCTCCTGTAATATTCCAATCATCAAGTAAGAAATTCTAAAGTTAAACACAGACTTCTAGATAAATGTGGCAAATCTATTGATGCGATAGTATATCTTCATTGACTGTGGAGGCTGGAAAACGTTTTACATATGCTCATTGAGGAGCACCTACCTTGAAGAACAACGACAGCTAATGTAGATGTAATTTTGGAAGAAGCTAGGGGTAGCCGAACTCAAGATATGCTATGAGTCTATAAAGTAATTTACTATTGAACAGGACCATGAAGTTTATCTGGATAGTGCGCATGCGATTATCGTAACCAATAGTTAGACACGTTGGATAACATGCCTCAGATTCGATCATAATGGTATAGATAGACTCATTCTTCGTCTTATATTGCGTCTTGAAATTTCAAAATTATCTTATACCTTTATCCTCTCACAACTTCTCTCTTCATTCTCGAAATGTCTTATACACCACTAATCTTTTTTGCTACTGCTGATAGTGTCACCGATTCAAGTACCTTGAGATTTTTCTTGAAAATTTCATGGCTTAGCAGCTTGGACCAATACACATATCTACCAAGTTCTAAGTTGCACATGACTGATTAACTGATTATCATCTTCTGTGTTACCAATCATGCATATCCTGTTCATCGAAATATTTTAGTGTTCCTTAGATCAATAAACCGAATAAAAATGCTTTATCATTGATTTCATAATTTGTTTGATTTAGTGAGCACAATATAGGCAGATCTTACCTTGAATATGTTGCCATATTTGAATAATCTTGTGAATCCTCTAAACAAATTGAAGTTTTTTATCGTAACACTTTTTACAGGTAAAACAAAGTCTTATCGAATTCGACTTGTTTCAATTGAAAACTTCTCATATATTATTACTCAGTCTGGTCACTTTCAAAATATACGACTAAGTATATATGAAATGCTTTTCAATTGGTGATGAATGAAAGGCATAATGAAAATGAAATTAGGTTTTATGTCTAATTATTTCTCTACATGCTGATAACTGCAATGTTTCAATACATCTATGGTATTTTAGATTTCTCACTAGCTCTTATTCAATCAGTTCAAATCAATGTTTACCATACAGAAGTGTATTCCTTAGAAAATGATTACTGATTTATTTGATTTCATTTTTAATTAGAAATTTCTGTACAATAATTTAGTTATCATTATAATTATATCATATCTTTGATAGGAGGATATTTAAAATTGTAATAATTGTCGATTTGTAATAGAGCATCACTATTATTTTCAATTCGTCTAATCTTGAATGAATGAATGAATAAAACATAACTAAGTAGTATATGACCATCTAACAATACAATTTACAAAGGAAAAACCTAATAAGAAAATGTTCATTGTGAAATTATCAAACAATGTAAACCTTCTGTTGTCTATATACTATCCATGCAAAATTAATGAAACGAGAAGCTCATAATGATTTAGTGTTTTATTGCATGTGTAAAACATGTTTAATTCCATTGAAGTATCGATTCCCTACCGTAGCTGCTACCTTGACGTGGCAAATCAATAGATGAGGCAATAAAACTTCATGAGTTGAGGTGGTTGGGTCATGTGTTACGTAGGTTGGAAAAAAGCTAGGGGCGGCCAGACAAAACATGGCAGAAATCCATGAAGTCACTGACAAGTGGATTGAGTCATGTTGGTAGATGTAGGCTATCTGGTTGGGGTCCGCGAGACGAAAGTCACCGATGGTTAGAGACCTTGAACGACATGGCTCAGAATCGTTTGCAATGGCGCAGGTGCATCCACTCTTTGTGTTCTCTCTAACTCTAACCTTCTGAATTCCTCATAATCTCTATATTTCTCCATCTAAATTTATCTCACTGAATTATACTTCTCGAATCGTATCTTCGCTCCTTAATCTTCTCCATTTCCGCTAATAATAATTCTACTATCGCTATCACTTATGGATTTGAACTGACAATTACGTCTCTGTACTGATGTGGTATGGCAACCTGAACTGATGTACTTATGTACGAAGTTCTGTGTTGTATCTGTCTGTCTGTCTGTCTGAACTATTAACTAAATGTTTAAACTAAAACAAATTCTATCATTCGTTTAGGTCATCAATCTCTGTAACCTATGAGTTGTCTGCTCAATATTTCCCTTATTTTAATCGTTATTACTTACTCCAAAACAAACAAAAAAAATAGTTGAGCAAAAAAACTATGTTCAATAACTTCATCAGGCTCCATGTTGTAACGCTTGCTTAACAATTCCCAACTGTTCCTATTGCTTAGTATTCTCTGACCACAATACACTGGACCAGTTTCAACTAATCAAAAACACGGTGGAATAGGAAGAAGATTATATTCCAGGTTGAATAGAAATAAGAAGCCAAAGGCAAAGGCGAATCATAAATCCATAATTATTGTGTTAGTTTACATAGGCAAAATTAACGTGTCCATTAGTGAACTAAACAATGTTATTGATCAAAAACGATGAAAATTTTGCAGCTGTGACGGCAGAAATACTTCAAGATTGTGTTATTTTCAAATTGAACAACTCATGAACAATGTGATCAAAGTTGGTAGTGACAAGAATAAAAATAAATAAAATTTCCAAAAAAATTTCTGTGGATTGAACTTATAACTGTAGAGTCTGATAAAAAATGCTATATTTTTTGGCTTGATTATTGATTTATGTTTGTATGGGATCCGGTTTTGACTTTAGAATAAGTTGATCAACTTGAGAATAAATCTATGAGCCATTCATTCAAACTATATTATTTCTAAGATGAATTAAACAGATGTCTGCAAGATTCTCAAGATTCTCTATATTGGTTGTAAGGGAATTTAATTGATGCAAGTTGAACTAGAGTCCTGTGTCACCGATTAAATTTCATTAATCAGTCAGTCAGTCAGTTGCAACGTAGAACTTCGTACATATGTATATAAGTTCATGTTGCCATACCACATGAGCACAGAGACACAAATGTCAAATCAAATCCCATAGTGATAAAGATAGTAGAGGTATTAACGGTAATGAAGAAGACTAGGGGTTTGAAGATATTATTCAAGAAGTATAATTCAGTGAGATAAGGTTAGAAAGACAAAGGTAGAGGTGCTGACGAATCCAGAAGATTAGGATTTGAGAGAGCACAACGAATGGATGCACTTGCGCCATTGCAAACGATTTTGAGCCATGTCGTTCAAAGTCTCTAACGATTGGTGACTTTCGTCTCGCGGACCCCAACCAGGTAGTCTACATCTACCAACATGACTCAGTCCACTTGTCAGTGATTTCATGGATTTCTGCCATGTTTTGGTCTGGCCGCCCCTAGCTTTATATTTCACTAATCAAATCTTATTGATTATCTGTTCGCTTTTTTTTCCTTTGTTTCTCTGGTTTACTTTTCTCCTTCTTCTTCATCTACTTCCCGTTCATCTTGTCGGTCTGGAGTTTTACCATTTTTATACAATGAGGTATCTAGAAAACCTTGCAATTACATCCTGCGATATGATTACATCTTGTTTTATCCACATATTGGCAAGCAATTAAATATGAGGTCATTCTATTTTATATTATAAAGTAGATAACTAACTTATTTTTCATTTTGAATGGGTCAGTCGGTTTCTCCGAACTACTCACCTTACCTGATCTACATCAGTTCAAAAAGTGAGACAAATGAAATGACTATTTTGTTTATTTTTTAAAAAGAAATCAGATTAAATATTCACAGTACTAATTAAATATAACAAAACTCTTATCCCATAGATGTGAAATGTCCACTTTTTCCAGAACTAATGGATAATATAGAAAATAAGCCTCAAGTTCCAATTGGTTCAAATAGTCTTGTTTATGATTATGGACAAAATATTACATTACAATGCAGTCGAGGTTATGTGAGCTTTCAAAATCCTAATAGTACATTAGCCACGATGGTTTGTGCTCATGCTAGTACAACGTTTAATCTGGGTTTATGGGACCCGGAAAATTATCAGGCTTGTATAGGTAGGTAAATGTTTAGGTTTTGGAAATATTTATACAATGCATCTATTTGTTTCTTTTTTGCTTGTTAATTAGGCATAAATGGTGAATATTAAGAAAACAAAAAGTAGTTGTTATGAATAGAGTTAATATTCTACGAAGAATTAAATCACTACTATCTCAAACTTGTAAGGGAACAGTTTAAAACTGCAGCTAATTTATAAAGTCACCATTATCTACTGAAATCTAGTTATAAATCAGATCTTCTAATTTTATACAATAGAAAATTGATCACAGTCTCTTGTGAACATCTCTACATAATAGTTGTATATATCGATTGAATTCCAATTCAAGTTTAAGCAATTATTAGATATATCTGTTTAACTTTAGATTCTGTGGAAGATGTTATCAATAAACTATACCTTGATCCGTAACTGGAAATCAATTCATTCTAGGTCATACAGTGCTCAGTAAAATCAAATTTTATCTGACTTAATATATAATCTTTCCGGTAACACAAATTACTCGGTGTTAAGGAAAGCTGTATCTAGTGTTGGCTGGTTGCAAACATTGACATGAAATCGTAAACCTACGATTTGAATATTTAATGAAACTAAATTTATCTCACTGAATTATACTTCTCGAATCATATCTTCGAACTCTAATCTTCTCCATTACTGCTAATACTTCTACTATCGCTACCACTATGGGATTCGAATTGACAATTGCGTCTCTGCGCTAACGTGGTATGGCAACCTGAACTGATGTACTTACGTACGAAGTTCTACGTTTTACCTGACTGAAGCTAAATGTACTTCATAGTTGAGAGAAACTCTGCTGTTGAATGACAGTTAAGAACAAGACGCTGCATGAGGAAGGTTTATGTTAACTGTTTTCAATATCCTATTTTGCTAAATAGTACGATGCCTTATTAAATCGTGTATCTTGAAGATTTTGTTTTAAACTAGCTGTTCAAACTAATGCATATTTTAAGACCGTGGTACTGTGATACTTGTCAGTGCTTGGTGAACCATTCTTATACTTAATTCACTTCTACACTCATTCAATCACAATCCAACTAGTTGATTAATAGAGTGATATGATTGCTAATCTTTATATTATGATTAATTTTTCAAGCTTCGCGACACGTCTCCATAATTCGTACTAAAAAGTAGTACACCCTACTGTAGTACTTCCTCCGGATAATATTCAACAATTTAAATCCTCTGATATTTTATAATATAATAATATTTCCTTTAAGATTATTATGATTTTATACTAAAGTACAGTTTATCCCTTTTATATCTTTATAGAACTACTAAAAGTTTTGTTCTAATTTCATGTAAACCAAAGTGAATTTAGTTAAAGTGTAACAGTTAATCAATTGTTCAAAAATCTCTAATCAGTAATTCAGCTTTACCATAAAAATCCTTGTTCAATAGTCATTTTCGATCCATGTTTTAGTTAACTTTTGTTGATTTAAGTGTGGTTGAATACCTCTTGGTCACTAATAATATTCATTTGGAATCTATTGCGTAATAGTACAAATTAAATAAGGTTGGAAATATAAACCATCGGACGTCGGTTTAGTGGTCTAAAGATTAAACACATAGCAAGACATAAAAGTTCTGGGTTTAATCCTTCTTAAGATCATGGATACTCACTGCTGTTCAATAATTCATAGTTTTCACTGTAAATTACAAAATTCGATCATGATTACAAGTCATAAATACCGGTAGAAATCTGTTGTATTATGCAGTTCAATTCTAGTGATAGAAATTCTCAGGTAAAAATCAAGTAGTACAATATTGTTAACTGAGAAATGATACATATTTATTATGTTTAATATTTCAGGCTGGTTTGTATTCACATTACTATCATACTATTATCGTATTGTACAGTTTGGAAAATAATTTGAAGGCATAAAGTTTCATTATTACTCAACCATTAACTATCGGTTGAATGAAATATAACAACAGTCTTTCAAACGTGTACAACTTTTTTTCTTGAATTCTAACTTTATTTGAATTTTCAACCAGTGACAACCTGTAAGAAAATTTTAAACTTATTCTAATCACAGGTGTGTAAACACTAGGATAACTTAGCCTGATGAATAGTGCTGACATTTCAAAAAACCATTACCGAAAATACTTTTTAAATTAAAACTAATGACTATAAAGTACTTTCACATACTTATCTGAATAAACATGATAACATTAAAATTGAATGATTCCAAACGGTTTTTGATTGATTTTAAGATTGTTTAGTTTTTTTGTTAATCACTTACACTGGTAAATGTGAAAGATATTTTTAAGTTTAGTTAATTTTAATGTTTGTATACAGAGGTAATTGTTAACTTATCCATACTAATTAATCTGTGGATATTTTCATGCCGTCCTATTCCTTTCTTGAACTGATACTCTCAACTCTTGATACTTACTTCTTTGCTACTTACAAAAAAATGAATAAACTTTTAAAGGAATTTGATATCGTTTTCTGAAGTTTCTTCTTGTTTTAATTATTTAATAAGTTGATATACAAAGTCTCAATTAAAAAATCCTAAAAGCGGTTGTTTTACATGTTACTTCCAACAATTACTTGAATTATTTAATTTCTTTTAGAATTCACTGGATTAGTTAGTACGTTTCGAATTTAGCCTTCTAACAAAACTATTCTTCCTTCATGAAGAGGCATTCTGTCAATCTGGTAAACAACTAGGTTGCACAAATAAAAACTCATTTTTGGGACTCATTATTAAGACTAGATGTTCATAAACACTTCCTATGGAGAAAAAAACATTCAATCTACCTAATGTAGAACTAAATAGAAGAGAATATAAGGCCTATTGATGATCGTCAAGTCTCTTATCTTCAGATATTATACAAATGGTTATTTTATAATCTTATACTATCAGACATTTAACTTAAAATTAACTGACCAAAATAAATGAGGTAAAGTAGTATTTCCAAAATATTTTAATTTGAAAGTACTGAGTAGTTATATCACTTTTAAAATAAACAGTTTATATAGCCCAGAGATTTTTAGCATCCATATGCTTCCTTCTGTTAAAAAAAGTTTCAGTTACAGTTTCTTAAGTTTAGGTTAATGAATATTTCAGTTTTGTTTTTAATTGTTTTATAAAAAATATCTTTTCTGCATTCAGTTCGGACTCTTATTCATAAAATAACTAAAATCAGTGGAATTTACTGAATAATTTGAGTGGTGTTGTAAAAATGGGATTACTTTAATAAAGAAACGAGACCACAATTGAACTAGGAGTGATACTAGTTTTCGAATACTTCGGAAAACCTATTATAAAGCATATCCTTATTCAGGTGACAGTGATTGCTGAATGACATAAATAAATACTTACTTTTTCGCGAGAATGAAAAGAATACCTTTCCGAAATCAAAGTTTCTTAATTAATTACCATGCTACATAGAACCGTCATCCTAGAATAACTTTAGACAGATTTTCTTGAACTAACTAACAGAAAGCGCTTGTTTTATCCAGTTATGAATATGTATAAATGAATTCTGATTAGTCTATGTCTGCTTATTTGCGTCCCGGGATCTGAGACAAACATTTCATCATATTTCAGACTGTTCAGAATGCACTTATTTCAGTATAGACTGATCACTTTTAGTGATGAATATTAAACACAAAAAATGTACTCACTGCCTCAATGGATGATGCTTTGGTGTTTGGAAGTCGATACGAGATCTAATAAAGAACGAAATGCTCATCCTGAATTTTACTGTCAGCCACTGTTTATATTTCCTAATTTTTTTTCCTTAAAACTAATAAACTCACTTTGCAAGGAAGATTAAACAAAATTCTTTCATTAAATATTTATATTTTTTGTAGCTGTACGTTGTAATGAAACGGAATTAAATAACAATATTCCTAAATATGCTAAATTAGTTAGTGCACGTAATCGTATCACAGAACAAGTATTTGGTTCACATCAGGTTAATCAATTTTATTCATACGGAAACGTCATTTCTATCAGATGTAATCCAGGATATTTATATAATGATCGTACTACAGAAAAATTAGTATCCTGTGAATTAGTACCTGGTTCAGATACAGTTGGAGAATATCGTGGATATTCTGGTACACTACTGCCATTACCAACAGAATGTCAAGGTGAGCCTTATAAAGCGGTTTAAAATCATGCATTTATAGGTTTCTTTTTACGCGTTTAATTTCGAACAATTTCATGAGAAACGTATACTTCCAAATTTAATTTTTAAAATTTACTGTAAAGATTTAAATAGTTCATTACCTTCCATATAACCAATGTGATAACTTCTTTCATGACTTGTCTAGACAATCAACAGCCTAAGAGTTTGTTTTCACACCTGTATTTCGGTAATTTTTTAGTTAAACCGACATTCCATATGCTAAATAGTGTTGTAATGAAATACCCAAGGATGTATTTATCGCAGTCATTTTAACTGTGATCGATAAAAGAAGTAACAGGAAACAATCATACTATAAAAAGTTTGACACAATATTTACTTACAACTGTGATGAGCATCTGTTTATAACTGACTTGCAGCCTCCCTTAGAATCGACCTTTTATGTCTTCATTGTAGCCGTTGATGGGTGTATAGGACTGGATGACGTACATCGTAATGCCCTCCTTTTTGTTTTGAAGGATGCTTTGATGATCCTAGGTCCATGGGATCCCTACCTTATTAGTGATTTTTGTGCTTGTTTGAACAGCATCAGTGCAACTCCTTGTGTGTATTAGGCGTCTTCGTATTTATGGCCGGAGTGAAACATCACCTCTCTTGAAGCTAATTTTTTTTCCATCCTGCATCCAATGCGTTTCGTTGATTCCAAGTACCATCAGGTTGTATCTTTCCATTTCTTCAGCAACTTGGATGGTTCTTTCGGTCTCCTATATTGTACGAACATTCCATATGCCTATAATAATGGTTTCTCTGGTTGTCAGAAGGGTCATCGGTCTCGTGACTTTTGAAGAAACTCGACTTTCATCATCACTCTTCTAAATAAAGACCCTCCAACCACCAGCGTAGAGTTTAAATTATTTTTTATGCTTGTTGTTTTTTTAGCAAGTTATTATTTGACAGATCATTCTGCTAGCCCCATTTCCAGCCCTTCTCTTTTATACGAGCTTTGGACTGGCAGTAACCCTAGAAGAGCTACCAGCGGAGCTAACCCCAATGACGGACAAAAAATTTCTTATAGGTAGTAGGATATAAATCTTACGAATGTAAAAAATCTATGCGATTTAAAATATTAGGACAGCGAAATAGCTCTTCTCGAAAACATAATGTTTGTACACGATTCAAAAAAGTCTAAAGTGTAATCTCCAATGACTTCTGTTCATGGTCCCGAAAAAACATCTTCAGCTGTTTTGAAGACGCCTGAATCAACTTTCTATAGCTCCGTATCATTTATTGCCAGACAAAAACAGTTTTCTCTATTCATCTATTTGGGGAGATGAATTTTAGCATTACTTATTTAACTTTCAAAGACATTAACACAACTAAGCATTGGTCGGGAACATTTTTGTTTTATTGGGTAAAAATATGTCATAACTAGTAATAAGCTTTCGTAGATCATACTAACTATCCACTCTACGATTAGCGATTTCACACTGGCAATAGAAACTACTCTACCATCTCCTCAAGTCTTCAGCCATAGTTTTAAATTCCGAAGAGCACATCTTATTGTGGAAATCATCCACTTAGTAGCATAACCTTTTTTTTATCAACTTCAAGCTGGATTTCGTTATTGCATTGATAGAGACAGTGGAAATATATTGTTTCTTTTTTCCGTTACTACTTGCTTTTAACTTACACATGAACAACCTTTCATTGTGATTAAGTCGATTAAAATTGATCTATCTCTGTTACTCAAATCAGACACATTGGCTCTTGTGAATACAGAAAATAGTTAGAAGTATCATTTTTTCATTGTTGTGGATGTTTCTAGAGTAGAGCGTCTAAGAATAACCTTCGGAAGGCAACGATTAAGCAAATGCACTCTCAATAAATGTTAGAAATTTTAATTGATAAGACAGTAAGTGGAAAATAACAAAAAAAATTAAAGTAGTAGGTTCACAATAATAAGGGCGACTATCGTTAGGGCGCATATTAATATAGATGGTCATCATAAGTGGGAATAACGATTTTAACAGTGTAAAATAGGCTCGATTTCCTCTTTTTCATTTTGACTTATGACCAATCTAAGCCGTATTTTCCAAACGTGCGACGAAGAATCTACATACAACAAGTGCTGTAATGTTTCGAATTCGGTAACAAACTCGTTGTTATTATCCTAGTCATGTTGTCTTGTGTGTCTGTTTCGAACTGCTGGGGGATAGTCTGTCTATTCAGAGGGTGGCTTAAAAAGTTCCTATGAAATATTTGGGAAATTTTACTGTGAATGGTTTTTAAATACTAGAACATGTCTTTCTTTTAAAATTTAACTGTCATACTCGGCATTCTTCATCACTTGTATTGCCGAAAACATTGTCCTGTTTACTCTCCAGAGAGACTATATTGTAATGATTGTTGACTTTTGTGATAATGAGAATCAGATATTTAGTTTTTATTTAATATTAATCTTATGAACAAGTGTAACATACTCGGTGGATCTTATGCAATTATTATTGGTATGAGATTATTAAGTATGCATGTAAGTCAGATTATCATTTATTCCAATTAAAACTTATTCAGTTTTACGTTTGACAGACAAATACATTTAAGCAGTTTTACGAATTAGTTCGTTCAAGTTACAAATCCAAATACATTTAAGCAACACCTTACAGTAAGTGATTTCTCTGCAGAAACAATAGCAATTCATCATTTCAAAACTGAGCTATGTCTGCAAAAATAGTTGCTTTAATCATATCATGACTAATGCCTAATTTTTTCTTAACACAGTTAATTGCTTACTGTTATTTTATCCCAATGTTTTTTCTTTATTTTTAGTTATTCATTATTACCACGTTCATACTTTTCATGTATCTTCCACCTTTTTCACACTTTCCAAGTGAATAGTTATTACACACACACACACACACTTCGTTTTATCTTTTTATTTTTATTTTATTGTTCGAACCGTATTTTGGACTTCTGAATCAAGAACTGCTTTTCGTAGTGTCCAAGTGACTAAGCTGATCATATTGGTTTCTATGATTAACTAGTCTCCATGGTTTTTCATTCATTTTTTCTCTATACTAACATTATTAATCTTTATTTCCAAAATTATATGTCCTTTTTTCTTTAATTTAGAGGCTACGTGTTTGTACGAACAAGCTGTAATACAACCAGATTACAATATGAAACCATATTTTATGGTCATAAGAAGTAACATAGATGTGATGAATTTAACAAGACACAGTGGAGTTCCATATCCCCGTGGGACAGTAATTAGATACTTTTGCAAAGAGGGATACGAAAGTATTGACCAGAATTCCGAATTAAATATAACGTGCGGCAATTTCGGCCAGTGGACTCCACAATTAATTGGTTGTATTGGTAATCAAACAATTTTTGGTTTTTTTTATTTTTGTTCTGCGATTCCTCTCCATAGATGATATCTGATGATGGACTTTGGTATGAATATTTGATAGCGCAGATGTATTTTTTTCAAATAAATATAAAAGTCTGACTGATTCACTGTTAACCGGTAATAATGTTTAGCTCCCCATTAATCGAACATTTCCTGCAGTCAACAATTAGTTTGATAAGTATACAACAAACAATTGTAATTATCATCAATGAACCCGTTTTATTCCTGCTTATGAAACAAAAATTAGATAAAATGGTAAAGGAATTAGGTCGTACATCATTGGATCCATAACTTGCTTTCATCTGCTAATCGTATGTCGGAAAATTCTGTCACCTTTCAAAACATATTAATGATGTTATTGTTAGTTTTAGCGATTAAGTATCCTGTCAAGCCTAATTGTTTGCCCGTAATAAGAATCTATCATTTAGAGATTCAAAAATTCATCAGTTTTTAACTTCATTTTTTACTCAGTGTTCATTTGCATTACAGCGCCTAATACTTTATACTTATCACAACGATTAAATCTATTCTTTAGATTTTCGAAATTTTAAACTGACCACATCTTATAAATGTTGAGTGAACTGACTTATGATATTGTTGAAATCTTAGGAAATCTACATGTTTCATGAGAAATACAATTTGCTTTTGGATTCACTATGTTCAAAATTTAGAAGTGAAAAATAAAGTTACTGATTTTTTGGTTGGGTATTTAACTCAAATGTTATTATATATCAATAAAATATATAATTACAACAATAGGATGATTTTGATATCACTTAACTTTACTGAAGTAAACTTTTCTTACAGTAAAATCACACTGATAATTATACTATTCACAAAGATCAAATTAGAATCAACAGGACTAATTTTTTGGAAAAATTCTCTAAAGAAACTATAAAGCATTCAGTTTTCCACAAATACATTGTGTTACTTAAATGATAGCAATGTATGTAGATATCTTAATTAATATAAATATATTAATGTGCTTCGTTTTGAGTTTACGGCTCTTATATAAAAATGATATACCAGGCTATAATACACTGACGTACATTGGAATTGTCGTTGCCATACAATACAGAATGTCATTTATGATACGACTTTGATTCATGTAATTAGTTTCCCCCTGTATCATGCCATCAAAGTCCAAATAACCTGCAGAAAATCATCCAATTTCTATCCTATTCCTAAAGAACTAACTAGAATTCAGATCAGATCACGGCCACCGTATACTCAAAAGTGAATTTGCCTTATATTTAGTGGTTAATTTGTCTAGCCTACTCTACTAATTATTAACTCATGTTTTGCGACTACAAATTTTACCTGTGAAACAATGAGAAATTTTAGAGCCATTTTAATTTTAAAAAGATAGTTTACGAGATTTGGCAACCAAACTGCAAAAGTTAGTCATGTACTCTTATGGTTTGTTGAAAAGAAAAATCTAATAATAATATTTAATTTTACTGGTCTTCTGAAATATATTTTTAATGAAATTCATTTTTTTTAGCACGAATCGAGAAAGTACCTGTCAGTCTTACCGGACGACTGTATACCGAACCGAGAGAAGCTGAATCTGCAGCAAAATTATCCTCAATTATGTTCATTATGGTTTTTATATTTTTGGGGCTTATTTTATTGTTAGATTTAGCCACTATTGGTAGAGATTTAAAACAAATGCGAAGTAATATTAAATTACAAAAAAGAAGGTTGAATCACTCAAGAAATAAAAACAAAGTTGGTTGAAAAAAAAGTACTTAACGAACTATTTTACTACAGGCAATAATTGTTTTCATTCTGGTTTATCTAAAAAAATACAATACATTTGATACTATCACTATTATTAACCTTTTGTTGATAAATTATGAAAATTTTTCCTTTATTATAGTATTTCAACTCGCTTTTTAAACTTTTAACAGGGTTTTTTAAAATAACCAAAAAATTTTTTAAAATTTTCACAGCGTTTTTTAAAATTTTTTGTAATCCTTAGAATGTCAGAAATAAATAGAAAAAACAACTTGATTTCGAATGAAAAAAGAAAAAGCCTTATAAAAAAAGTTATTGAAGATGGATACAGCGTCAAGGATGCGGCATTTCTTACAGATGTAAACTATCAGGCCGCTACAAATATTATAAGGTTGTATAAAATAGGAATCGCGAGTTGAGAAGAAAAAAACAGGAAAACCATCAAATAAGAAGATATGCGGTGATATTATCAATTTTGTTGAAGAATTGATAGAATTAAACCCGTTAATAACGATGGTAGAAATTCGAGAAAAAATAGAAAACATATTTTCTACAGGCCTTTCTCTTGAATCTATATAAGAAGGATAATTTATAGACTTCAGATTACTTTGAAAAAGATTTCTTATACATCGGTCAATATAAATTCGGAATCCAGTAAAAATGAACGCTAAATTTATGCTCAAAATTTTATGAACATTGAAGATACATTTATAAAAGTTTTTATTGATGAATCTTCTTTTTTCAAAAAAATTTTAAAAAACGCTGTGAAAATTTTAAAAATTTTTTTGGTTATTTTAAAAAACCCTGTTAAAAGTTTAAAAAACGAGTTGAAATACTATACTTTTCATCTTCTCAACGGTTTCAGTGATTCATAATTTACTAATGTTATTCACGCTTTCGAGAAAATTTCTTCTTCAGTCAGTCATTTATAAACAACAAAAATACTGGAACAAATATTTATAGATCTAAGCTGTGAAGTTTTATACCAGCGAAAGTTAGCCACATTTATAAAAGAAAAAATCCACTAAATACCGGTATCAGTGTTCGCGATAACAGAATGAAAATAATATAGTTCGAAAACAAACGAACGAATGAGAACAACCCCTAGGATTGAAATTTTTAAACGAAAAAAGAAACTAATAGGTATGCGATCGGTATTGCACTATGAGCTCTCCAACTACAGATGACGACTAGCTAGCATACTCTCCAAATTAATAGTTTAACTCAGTGGATACGCTTCGTTTGGTTAATTTATAACTTCACTGACTAATAATACTAGCCAATACTTGTGTCACTCCCATATTGTTAACAGTAACCCATGAGTTAAATTTCACGTTAAAGACGATAGTAACACAATAAAAAGAATGCCATTTTGATAATTTCTATCTTCTATACAACTTGTTTTTAATTTATTTACATGAAATATATGCAAGTTCAAAAGATTGATGGAAGTGAAATATGATAAGAGTTTCATTAACTAGAATTAGAACTTTAATTTACAACCTTATCTTAGTGTTTTTAATTCGGTGAACAAAAAATCCCAACCCCATGTTTCATCACTCTATAAAAATAAAGTAGGTTTGTAAATATTTTCTACATAAATATACACCCTTACTTCTTGCAGTTCAGATTCAGAGAATAAATGTCTTGTCAACACCCTTATGTTAATATGATCATCCTAAAATAAAAATGCATAATGATAAGTTAGTTCACTATCTCCAATTTAGAAATATAATCTTACCAACAACTGAAGCATGCCATGATGGAGTAGATCTTGAGTAAGTTCAGAGTATGACGGAATTTTATTAATAACCACACTAAAACAAAAAAATACACAGAGATGAACTAGATTAGTTTCAAGAATTTAAGAAATATGAAAAGTATCGGACGAAAAATGTGCAGCTTTCTGACTTAATCATTGCTTGCAAGGAAAACAATCAATTTTGCAATTTCTTAGTATGGTTAAGCCTTAAAAGTAATCAACCCTCAAACAGTTATATTCTTGGTCAATCTTTTTACTTGTAGACTCCCAGGCAAACTGATAGGACTTGTCTCTATTAAACTCAAACATCTAAATATTGAAAAAATACATCATATAGTAATACATTTTAAAACGAAAGTCACTGAATGCACCTTATTATTATTCGAATATCCCAATTAAAAAACTGTTAAGCAGTTTTCTGGGCCGTTTAAAAATACTTGATCTCTTAGTTTTAAGGAGATTCTGACATCTCTTTTGATTCTTCAGACAAATGGATTAGTGATTCTACTAAACGCTTGTACGAAACTCTGAAAAAATCTAATGAGCGCACTAGCTACCTTTTATAATAATTGAATAAAGCAGGTTTGCTGAGGTTCTTTTGCATGCAATGAGACTTTGATCTAAGGTACCAAAGTAATTAATGGATAGTAGATCATCTTACGGCATGACAGCTTCGGAATTTTATCCCACAGAATGTCAGTATGTTACCAGTTTGTTAGTAAACCTTACCTCAGCGTGAAAATTTAGGATGAATTTCGATAAATTAGATCTACTTTACAACTAAATATGAAGTGAATTACCCATTCAACGGCATTAAGGACCCTAGAAGCTATCATGGAGAATATATTCGGGTAAAAAGTCAGACTAACTCAAAGTCCCATTGAATCAGTACAACTGGCTTATTTGTACAACAATAAATTAATACAATTAGGTGTGTATGAAATTTAGCTGCCATGTTAATTTTCAAATTAGCCAATTTTTTGTAAACAGTTAGAATCATTCTGTTTCTTCTCTTTTATCATGAAACAAAGTCACCATTCCTCATTTCGGCCTACAATCTAGATACAAGTGATTTCGTCCTATGTACATTTTAAAGATCCATTATCAAATCTATTTTCGAGAAATCCTTACAATTTCCACCAAGTTATCACCACGAACTTTTTGAAATATTAGGCAGTAACAACTGTTTTGCCAACCCATTTAAATGAACTATCAGAGTTTACCACTTTAGCAATGAACAAGGTTCATCATGCCTATTATTTTTATCAAATAAACTCGAACGTAAGAGACAAATAGCTAATTAACATTTAGTGGTGGAGGTGAGAGTGCATGTGCCAATTTCTTCCGAGTCGATTCAGATTTTATTGCGACATGAAGGCATGAAAACTATGCAAAAGATTAGAAGTTGACTTGTCAGAATGTTAGACTTATAAACTACAATTACATTGAATGATTCGACTCTCAACAGCTTACAATAAATATCGACAAGTGACCGAACAAATGAAACACATTCTTGCCTTAAATGGTCTATAGGAAACACTGATTTTATGCCATCCTCATGACTGAAGTCTTTTTAATAGTCAGCTTAGGACTATTCAGAGAGTAAAGAAACAATCACTTAAGGAAAACATTTCGTAGGGGATTAACATAAATATGCAACTAATAGAGCAGTTGACGGAGCATTATACCTTGGAGCAACAGCGCCTTCGAATGTGATAGACTGGTCTTCAGCGCTACTTAGATCAGGGACAATAGGTATCTCTGTGGATCTTCAAATATAAAAATACGAGGTTACCGAGTTCTTCGTCCGAGTCTAAAACACATTTAATCGTTTAACAACATTATTACCTTCATTCAGTAAAGTTTTGCACACGTTATTTATATCTTCTTGAGCTCTATGAAAATTCGTTTTGTAAGCTATGATGTATATGATGTTTACCTTCTGCAAATAAAAATACATTTGTGAACGAAATTCGAACTCTTTAAAGTTAGATAAATACCTTCCGAATGATGCAATATGGGAAATTTCACCCTCATTCCAACCACCTATTTTGCATTCTGGCAGGTCAGTAGTCTTTTAGTTCCTAAGTATCACGAAAAAACCTACCTTTTCCCCACTAGCTTTTCTCAAATTAATTTCACTAGAACTCAGACCATCCTTATCTTTAGACATCAGCTTAGCTCTCCTGCCTTTTTTGGCGAACTAATGGTCATTGTATAAAATAAAAAAGGGATGAGTACTTTTGCCGTCTCATTACTGACATCTAAATCATCCGCCATCTCTACTTCGCTAGAAGTCATGACGACAGAGGATCCAATATCCAATATCTTTTTCACGAACTAGTGTAAACGAATTTGGTTTCTTCGAGCTCGATTCTCGTTCTTTCGGAGCGGCTCCAGATGTTCGGTAATTTCCAATAGATGGAGGTCTAGCCACTTGACTGTCTAATTCTAGTCAGTTGGCAGTTGGTCGTGAGTTTGTATGTCTCGGGATTTGAATGAAACGTTTGTTTCAGGGCAGTAGGGTTTCTGGATACTAGCAGCCGTCACATTACCGAACCGGAGATCATTTATTTGCATCGTGGAGAGTAATAAGGGTAATAAGGATAAAATTAAAATGATAATATGAATAAAATTTCAGAACTGAGTAATATATAGATGAATTTAGTTTGTTAATTGGAAGTGAAGTTTGTGAGAGAGGACCGAAGTGTAAGGATCCAGATTTCAGATATATGTATTAAAGACAAAAGACGGATTTTCTGTGTAATTCCATTGATTGTAAATTTTCAATAGTGCCTAAATGGCGCGACAAATGAAAAGATAAAAACTACTCAGGTAGATAACCGCTATATAATTTTCGCGCAAAATTCATCCACCTGTATGGTTATTGCGTCTTTGTGACCCAAGGGCAACATTCTGACATTGTGAACTTTGCTTTGATCAGAGAATCGACATACATTATAAGTTATCAAAGGAATTGGAGGTGTGGTCAATTCAGTCCTTTCGGGGTTTTCATACACAAAAGACCTATATTAATAAATAAATTCTTTTTCTGATGATGCAATATTCATTTGGACATATGTACTAAAGGATCTGACGACATCTGTTAAGTTGCAAAGTTTTACTTATAGTGAATTTCAAAGAAATCTGATAACCATCAATAACTAGTCTGTAGACCAAAAAAGTATCTTGACAAAATTTCTATACGGTAAAAGGGAAAGGTATTTTAGTAGATTCATTTATTAATTATCTCATTGCGTTGGGATCTACAACTACGAGCACCCAAGGTATTTCAACGGACGCCAAAAACACTCCTGTAACGATTACACCAATAAACCTAGACAATTTTACGCTGAAATGTCTATGAACACCAGGTAGGTTCGAGTAATGGAACGGTTACACTAGTTTATAATTACCAATAAGTAGCAGACAAAGGGCGCTTGACACGGTTTGTGGCCTTAAAAGCTGAGTGCCTCACGATTATGGAACATCCACATTAAGAGTACTCGAATTTTCCCGCAAATTTTCACGTTGTTCCTCGATCTCTCATTCCTTAGCGTTTTCAATCAAAGCTAGCACGATGTTTTAGTGAAAAATGTTACATCAAGAAACCGATTCCAGTAACTAGGCACTTAACTCGTGCATTCTATTTTATACTCTCAGTGCTGTTCGTTTGACTCCAGTCACTCCCGTTTGTGCATCAACGGGCAGTTAGTACACTATAACGTACAATAAGTTAACTCCTCATGTAACGGGAGAAACACACGGAACATCCTCCCAAAGTTACTATTGGTTCATATCGTTTTCCCCCCTTAATTTCACCGTTTTACTCGGAACTTGTAGTCGTGTTTCACACCAACCAGTCTCCCCTACTTAGGTTCTCATCATTTGATTTTCGTTAATGGTTGCTTAAAATACTTACCTTGGTTGGCAGTTCTGCGTTGACGAGCCATTGACAATTAGGTCGTGTTTAACTGGACTGTTAGTTACATAATAATGCCTTCGGTTATTATTAACCTTTGAACGCGTCCTGGAAACGATTTATCGATACCCTAGGGAGATATTTAGTCTCACATTGCTTGAAATGCTATTATTCACTCTCAGGTACCAAACACTAATTTGTAGGCCTTTTCGCGAATTTCAGTCAGATATTCTGTGTTGAAAAATTCATTGACTGCATAGAACAGACATTCTTTTCTAAATTGGAATCGACTAAGTTGAACATGCAGTTCGTGTCCCGGTATGATTTAGTATAAGTCAATCAAAGATGATTTGTACTCTATTTAGAGGAAAGTAATTCGGTGTGAGTGAATACATTTTGGTTCGTTAGCTCTGTGCTAAGCCGAATAACGAACTTTGCTAGTACCATCTACTACTAATTATTTTTCATCCTTTCGATAAAGTTTTACTAGTAGCTCTCCATCTAATATAAACCTGACACATTTACTTTTTAGTCGACATCAAGGCAATCTAAAATTATACAGTTTCTTTTCATGTCTATAGCACCGGTGAAAGATCCGATTCCGCCACTAAAGCGAATAACATGAAAATCTCTAACCAAAGTTATCAATCCTTATCTTACTCTGCATTTGTATAGATGCACAAAATTTGCATCGTTCATTTGGTGATTACCTTTATTTTCTTTGTATTTCACCCACAGATATAAATATAATAAACCAAGAGCGGAGTGACTTTACACCATTAGTCGCTTCTTGTCATTCGTACAAAGGCTGGCTATTGAGAGGAAGTTTGGGTGATGGTAACTCCCAGCAAACAGATAGTATTTCTGCCCTCAAAAACAGAGTGAATGATGAAAATCTCGACTATTCGTTTTTTCGGCTAAACGCATGCAGACTGAATACTCAATAATAACTTGTAGACTGTGTGTAGGCAACCCAACTGATTTCGAAAGTTTCGATGTATTTCTGGAAGATTTTTTTCTGTCGTAATATGAAGACTTTTAGAAGCGAGCTGAATCTCAGCCAAAATTCCTAAGTCTTACCACCTTGCCATTACCTGGTCGATGTTCCTGGAATTCCTGATCCACAAATAATAAAAATCCTGGGATGCCAATCAATTAAATATTTTCAGATGAATTGAAGATGCTTCATTATATGAGTAAAACATCCACAATGGGGACATATAACACATACGCCTCCGAAATATGGCACCCAGCATTTCCCCACCTCTATCTTAAAACGTTCAGCCACCTCACTCCTACGAAGCAGGACAAGAAGGCTAAATAGCGCGCGAAAACTATCACATCAGCACTCCTAACGCCTTTAAACATTAATTGAGCTAAACTTAATTTTTAATGCACACTGCCACAACTGCCGCATTCCGCAATTTCTAACCGCTGAACACAATAGTCGCAATCTTCGACTGCTATCGTCTGCAAAGATGTGTACAATATACTATGCAATCGGAAGAAAAGATACGTACAACAAGACGTTTTTGAATGTTTGCTTAAAAATATCTACCGTTCACAAGCAAGGCTATTTGTGGGGACTTCAACATGCCTGAAATCACTTGGTTCCCAATCAAAGCACCTAAACGATTCGAATCATTTATCGAATGCTTAGAGCTTGGAGAGTGGACTCAGCATGTCAATGGCCCAACCAGAAATCAAAATACATTGGATTTGGTTTTCACCAGCAATCTCATTCCTCACACTGTATATGTTGGAAAAAAGTTCCCAGGTAGCGATCATAATATGGTCATATGCAGCCTTGATATAGGAGCTACAACTATAAAGTATAAATCCACTACACTTCGTAGGGACTTTCGTAGGATTGATTGGTCAAACTTCCGTAACTGCCTCAGAAGCATTGACTGGACAAACTACTTTACCGCACACAATATTGACGAACTAATGAATGTATTTTATCACAACACAAATAGCATATTCAACAAATTTGCACCTTTAGAATCCTGGAGGCCCAGAATTCCTAAGGACTTATTTATGCCACGTCATATACGAAAACGTCTTCGAAGACATGCTTCCAGATTTCATAACTGTAATGACTTCTCCTCATTAGTAACGATGACTGAAATATGTGTCGAGGCAGAAATAACACGTAATAAAAAGGCAATCGCACAGGAAAAGCGTGCTGTTCAGCTGAACAATCAATCCTCTGAACTCATAAAACTCCTTCGGAATAAACTCAAATGCTCCAAAGTGAAAGGAGGGAGCATATTTATTGAGGACAATCAAGTGTATGACGACCCTAAAAGTATCGCAGAGTTGTTTAGCGAACATTTTTGTGCCACATTAACAAACGAAAACTCAATAAATGAGTCACATCTGACCCAAACTCCTTCCTGTGAAATCGCCAGTGTTGAATTTAGTATACAGAACATTTCTAAGGCGATTGGTACACTGAAGCACTCTTACATTGAAGGACCAGATGGCATCCCAGCCAGCATGCTGAAAAATGGTAGCAATGATCTGAGTGCTATTCTTCTCAAACTATTTACTATATCTCTCTCCACAGAGTGTTACCCTAATAACTGGAAGACTACACATATCATCCCCACTATAAAATCGGGGCCTACAGCGAACGTTGAAAATTACCGACCTATAAACATAACCTCAGTAGTATCTCGGGTTATGGAGAAAATAGTTAAGGCAGAGTTACTACAACATCTACTTAGTAACAATCTGATATCGACCTCACAGCATGGGTTCTTGAGGTCCAGATCGTGTGATACATGTCTGTTAGATTATTTCAACAATATCACACATGAACAAGACAAAGGACTTCTGGTATCAGTCCTTTTCTTCGATTTTAAAAAAGCTTTCGATAAAGTCCCACACAAAAGGCATCTACTTAAACTGAAGTCATTCGGAATCATCAACCCACTGCACTCATGGTTAGCTTCATTCCTAAATGGACGACAACAAATGATAAAGTATAATGACTGTCTTTCATCACCAAGACCAATAACCAGTGGGGTTATCCAGGGAAGTGTCTTAGGTCCACTCTTGTTTCTAATGTACATTAATGACATATGTAATACTATAAAATTTGGAAGAGCATACTTATATGCTGATGATCTGAAAATAGTATACAGCTATAAGCCTGAAGATCTGGACGAAAATATAGCTAAGATTCAGAGTGATCTTGATAACTTAAGTACCTGGAGCGAGACATGGCAACTGCCGTTTAACCACAACAAATGTGGCATAATGCATTTTGGCAAGCATCACCTTGATTCACCAGTCTACTTACAAAAATGTAGGGTTCAGACACTCATATCAGCGCGTGACCTTGGTATTAGTTACTCTAAAAGCCTAAAATTCGAAGAACATGCCTCAAATATTATCTCTAAATCTAGACGACTCATTGGGTTTATAAACAAGAACTTCTTCACAAGTGAGGCTAAGCTTACTCTCTTCAAAATCTGTATAAGACCCACACTTGAATATTGTTCACTCATATTTTCAAACATGAATATCATGGACAAAATGCGAGTAGAAAATGTACAAAGAAGCTTCACCCGGCGACTACTCGGATTGAGCAATAACCTCGACTACACAGAAAGATGCAAGCATCTTTCCCTAGAACCTCTATGGCGCCGTCGTCTCAAAAACAACCTAATGCTCCTCTATAAACTAATATATGGTCTTTCGTTCGTAAAATACCGCCCAAATATGAACCAAGACACTGCTTACAGACTTAGAAACAACGCATATACACTATTAACGGCAAAACACAAAAAATCATTGCGTTCTAATTTCTTTGTAATACGATACAGTCTATTGTGGAACAGGTTACCAATCGCTATTCGTATCTGTGACACAATCACTAAGTTCAAGAAACTAGTTACGCTGTTGCTAGATTCTAG